TTGAAACCTTCACTTTCGCGCTTGGAAAGGACCACCGACTCAGCTGCTGCCAGACACAAAGGTGAGATTTCGACATTAAGTAAAACACTTATACAAAACCTGGTCCCTGACTGTGTCAGTTTTGCTTTCATTGGCGCAGGTTCCACGGCTGCCGTGGAACTGATGAAACTCTGGAATTTTCAAGCAGGCAAGGGTAATGATACATACGGCTGAAGGTTTGAGGAAAAATGTTGGTTTCATGTCCAGCTGGACTTGTTGGATTTGTTTCGCTGCAGGCTGGATTGTGTTGTATTGTGTTGTTGCTTGCACAATGCCCTCTCCGCCCTTGGCCACGAAAACCCAAACTTCAGCCAGGAACCCGGTGAGTTCGTTGGGTGCTTCACGTGTGTGTTCCATACGAACCCCGACTTCATGCGGAGTTTCGCCTTTAACATTTGTGGCTGCAGACGGGGGGTTCTCCGGGTGACAACAACACAAGCAAACGTCAGACGAGTCCAAAACGCGGAGCCTGCCTGTGTTTCTGATAAAGTGCGCTTGCTTTGATGCATTGAAAAAGTACTAAGACAAACGTTTTTTTTGAAAAATCCGCGCGAAGAAGTCGAATATGAACAGAGTAATGCCAGATTTGGACAAGGTGTTTTTTTCATCTCCCCAGTCAAGGTGTGATTTCATGCTTTTTGCATATGGCATTTCATGCGGAAAAAAACATTCAAAAATACTTCTGGCACCAGTGAAAAATGGATGTGGTGCTTTTTACAGCGTAAATCACAGTGCATTTGCACGGCCAAAAGAAGAGCTATGTCTGATGGTCTGCCCTTCTTTTGTTTGATGGCTTGCATTTCATTTTAGCAGCCGTAAGCTTCGACACGAAGAAAATTTGTGCCTGTTTGTAATTTCTAGGGTCCTACTGTAGGTCCCCTAGGCGTGTCTACGCTATACGTGTGTAGCACCTGTTGTTCGTAGTTGCTTTACCCCTCACCCCCCCAACCCACCCCCACCACCCCATTTTAATCACACGACTAATCGATGACAATGTTGTGGTGATGACAATGTTGTGATCGATGACAATGTTGTGATGCTGACGTTCCCGATGTCCCCGATGATGCTGAAGTCCCAGAACCACATTTGTTGATGCTTATTGGCTCTTAGAAGGACGGAAGGAACGGCATTCATTCCACAAGGGGCTCTCTTGCACTTGATAGCCGGAATACAGTGGATGTCATTTCATCAGCGGAGGGGCCTTCCTCCAAGCGGCCGTTGCACAACGCCGCTGGTAGTAACTTGGAAACAGATACAAAACGGGCAAGGTACAAGAACGGGGAAAATCATAGTGTTACTGTTCACGCCACTGGTATAGGTTTCACACACGCAACGCCGCTGATGTAGGTGGTTGGTTGGACAGCTTGTTCCGTTGCCCATGCCGATTATGATTTGGGATGGTCGACTGGCGTTTTGCATTTGAACGCCCTTCGCGGGCCATGGGCCGCCCTGCCATGAGATGCGCCGGACTGACACGGCTTAAGAATGATTGGGCAGCGGTGGGTTGTGACTTGGTCAGTGATAGGTGCGTTTGAGCCATCAATTGTTGCGAGAGGTTGAGGCAAGGAAGAAAAACGTTTGTGGGGGTTTTGAAATTGAAGGACGACCATGATTTCGGCAGTAGGACTCCATAAGGTTTCTGGAACAAAACGGGTTTTGGTTTGTTTGACTGCCCAGTCACTGGACCAGACCTTGGTGAATGGACCATGTGCCCTTTGGAGGACCAACGATGGCTGTGCCACAAACTTTGGCACGCCCGGATCGCGCACCCGTTTGTGCAGGTTGGTTAGCGCACCAAAACATATCACAAAAACCATTCAAATCGCGGCCATACTCTTCACCAGCTCACACATTGCATTGTCACTCAGGTTGCAGCCTTGTTTTTTCTTCGCGCGCGGACCTCCCGTGCCCCAGCTAGGACTTGTAGCCATGCTCGAAAAAACCAGCGATTGGGCTAGCCCCGACCCAAGCAAAGTAACACAAAAGAAGAAGGTGACCTATCTAATAGTTGTTGGAAGATGCCAGCTTGTGCTCACATGCTCCATCCTTCTTTTTGCTTGGGGCAGGTCGGCACGGTTTGCGGCCGCAGTGGACAAAGTCTCCTTGCTACGGCTGTTGCAGAACCCAGCAACCCCGACAGGCCCTATGGACCGATTAGACCATCCAGCGCTGACCTTTTGCAGCCTCAGGAGTATATAATTGTTCCAAAACTAGTTGCGTTTCGGTGCCTTGTGAGGGGGGCACTGTTCTGAGCCTCCTTTTCTACAATATGTTAATCACGCTCACACACATGTCGCACCGTTCTTGATACATTATCATAGCCCCCGTGCAGCCGCTGGGGTGTGCAGGTTCCTTGCCGCACTTGGTCAGCGAGACCTTGGCGGAAGAGTTACGCGGTGCGAAGGAGGTCACTGTGCTTTTGGCCTCGTTTGCCAGGCGGGAGTCAAGATTGAATTCCACAAACCACAAACACAGGGACTTCCTTCCAGCATATATTTTGTCTCCAGGTAGTCACCCGCATGCTTCATCCACATTATAACTCTTCTTTTCGTTTCTTCCTCCTCGTTACCATGTCGTTTTGCCTCATTCCTGTTTCCCCTTTTGGTCCGGGAAATTTTCATTTGCACTGTTCCTCATTTCCCATCCATCCTCACATCATCCATGTCATCCATCCTCCAGAACCGATGTGCGAGTCGTCATCGAACACAGCATCAACACCGGTGCTTCACAAAGACCCACTTTCTGCAGTACATCCGGCGGGTTTGGCTCGAGTGGCGCCCCGTTTTCCCAAGAATTGGTCAGACCAACGCAGACAACACTGAAAAGGAACCGCGACCAACGATTTTATCACCACAGCCACAGCATAGAAGAGCCTTTGTGGAAAGAGGCCGTTGCTGTTCGACGGTTACAATTTGGATCAGCGGTTCACGACTCTCGACTCTCACCGTTGCGAGACTCACCCGTTGAGAACGCTGGTATGCGTGGTCACGCATGTTCCCCAACACACCAGTTCCAGTGGCCAGGGTTCAGCATCCCACTTTCTGCTACGAGGTCGTGTGGCTGCTTAGGTGTGGGGCAGTGTGTACGGTCCAGAGCGTAGGGAACCCTGTGCCAACAACAACGCTGTGACGTGCTCGTTTTCCTCAGCTCTTCTTCAGGCGTTCCTTGTGGCGCGCAGCGGCGGCTCTTTTGCTGAAAGCCGATGCCGTGGTGGACGTGCCGGCGCTGGGTTCCTTGCCAGACCTCGGAAACATTAAGACACAAGTGACACTTGCCGACGCCCCACACAACGGGCGACATGATGAACCCAGGTGCTGCAGTGAGGGCGTTTGAGAAGAGCGGGCATTGGCAACTGGCCTTGGCGCTCATCGAGGAGCCCCACGAATGTGGGGGAAAGGGCCATAACATTCTCGCCCTGAGCAGGTTTGACACGGCCAAGTAGTTGCAAGATTTCTCCACCGAACTAGTTCATCAGGGTGCTAACTGAATGTCGGCACTACAAGAATCAATCCTCGAAACGACCAAGACACTGATATGATTATAGAATTGTCTGTTTGATTGATGAATGATTGCTTCCTAATTAAGTGCGATGAGTGCCGGCGTGCCATGCAACTCCCCAAAATTCACATTTACACCAGTTGGAGTGGCTCATTTGTTGGCCAAAGCAGGAGTTTAGTGGAATTTGCTCGCGGCGCTTGCGCCCGGACGGCGGAGTGTTTGGCTCTGTTTTTTCTCGCGGCTCGGCAGAGGGTGGGGTAAGGGAAGAGAAGAGCATACAACACGACAAAACTGGCCATGTCACAATCAGCAGGGCACCGGTTCAAAAAAATCCATCCACTCCCACCAAAAAAACCTGCTGCCTTTACCGTCCTCTGTTTGGGTGGTGTATGCTTATATACTTACTGTATATCGTTGGAGCAAGTCGACCGTGGACTCTTAAAGCCTCTTGGAGCGTGCGGGGTGGCACGTGGTGCGCCGTTGCAGGTAGGCTGATGACTGATATTGAGATGAACCTATTGTATATTCACAGCTTGTGGGATATTGTGCAGGCCAACAGACTTTGGATGTCCCGTTTTGAAGTTACTGTACATAGTTGGTGGAAGGATAGTGCTGGTTTCGTTCGTCCAGTGCTTGAGTTGGCGCCATGCGAGGCCTGCGGCGCAGCGAGCCAGTGGCGGACAGCGTGCGAGATGTTGGAGCAGCTGCTGAGGAGAGGCGAAGGTCATCCCGAAGAAGTCACAGCTGACATACCTGCAAAATTCGGATGGATCAAAACCTGGAGTCTTGGTCCGGACTTGTAGCTTGACTTTCCAAGTAGTCTAGTTTGTTCATTTGGGGTGGTCCCGGTGTTGACCCACAGCCGGCCGGGATGCTGCCTCCCCTCCGCCACTGGCACCAGGTGAAGGCTTGTAGGTCAAAGGCGGGGATTTCTTTCTTCGCGCTTGTCCAGGAGGAAGGATGAGGCGCTGCAGGTGCGAGTGACCTGAGAACGGCGGGAGACATGGCCAGCTCACGTCAATCAGTTGAGCTTGACTCCATGAAAGCAAAGGACGCCCCACTGCCCCGGCGGGGTCAGTGTCGATGGCACCAAACCTTTGCTGGAGCGCTTGTGGAACGTTCGACCGGGACATGCACGTACGACGGGCGAAGACACGCGCTGTCACCAGTGTCTTGCGAGATGCTGTTGCAGGCATGGCCGGTAGTTGAGTGGCAGCGTGTGGGCACGGCTGCGCTGACGGCTTGTGGTGTTTCGGGCTGAAAGGGGTTGGTATGAAAGGGGCACAGGGGGTGGAGCGTGCGGAAGTGGAAGCAAGGACATTTTTGCAGGAGCTCAAAGAGTTTCTTGTCGTGGTTGGTACATGTGCTCTCGGGCAACTAGTGGTAACTCAACAGAGTCATTGTCGCATTTTCTTAGAGAATGTCTCAGTGCAATCTTGTAAACCAAAAATACAAGTTTATATTTGGGTCTCAAAAACAACATATCCCAGTTTTGGGTCGACCCTTTTTCTCCTTTTCTTTTTTGCGAGTCTGTCGATGAGCGACCTCCCCGGCTCTCATGAGCGACCGTCGCCCGGCCGATTTCTTTCAGACGATCTGCTTGAGCTCCGATTCTGGAGGCGTCGTGAGGCGTCTTGCGACACGGGAGAAGTGGCTGTGACCAGCTCCACTTGCTCTCGAGGTCGAAGCCGCGAATGGCGCAGAGGAAGCCAGCTGCTGCAGGTGTGGGGACCCGTGACGCGTGAGGACCTGTGAGGACCTTTGGAGGGGATTTTGAGTTGCATGAACATAAAGAATGTCCAGTCACTGCATGTCCTTCCTCATGCCTGCGCAGATGCTACAGCAGAAGGGGCTAGAGCTCTCAGCAGTGCCTTTCAATGCTGCCATGCGCTACAGGCGAGCCACCTTGCTGCGTAAGACGTCACACATTCGATGGACGACCAGCACCGACGGACCGCTTCGCCGACGGCCGAGGAATGGCAAGCTGGGCTGGGAGGGGAATTTGGTGGCCATAGAGGACAGACGGAGGATGTGCCGCAAGTCTCGTTCCATGGGTGAGGTGGACCGGACCCTTCGTTTCAGTACATGCCACCGTGTTTTTTTTTTTCCTTCTCCTCCTCCTCACTAGACCATCACATGATCAAATGTGCTTGTCAAATTTTGGCCGTGTCGCCATCACTGTCTCACAATCATCACAATAAGGAATTATGTCGGAAAGAAGCCCAACCATTTTGTGGTAGGATTTTTCTGGGAACGGTTGGGGGCGATTATTGCTCCAATGATCGAATGCAATGACTGCAGCTCGTTCTGCATCCAAAGTCAGCATTTATGTAGGCCAAAGCCATGGTGCTTTGAGCCTTTGACCCACAGGGTGCCATCACTTGCTTCGACTGTCCTGTAGGATGCATCCAGTACAACACAGCGACGTTGCCAGATCCGTTGTTGCCATGGATTTGAAGTCACACTTGAACAAAAAAAGGGAAGCCGGAACCACCAGAAAGACAACACATAGTGAAACAAAACCAAGGCTTTCTGTTCGAGTGTTTTTTTCGGTGTTTGTTTTGATTTTTGATTGAAGCCGTGATTTGCTGGCTTCCTTCGTGCACTTTGTGGCATTTCTTTGTTAAAGATCCCCCGTGTAAAAACATCCTCTTGCCAAATCGCGGATGTTGCAAGGAGTTGAAGAGTGATCACATGACCTTAAACACTCTGGCAGGGGTGCCCAAGTGCAATGTAATGGGCTCCATGCTTGTACAGATGGGAATGAATCACGCCGAGTCATTGATCAACGTGCCTAGTGCCTAGTCCCAGTCTTTCAAGGCCATTGTGGACAGTGAGTGGGAGCTTGTCAATTGCGCATGCAGTTTGGGGCCCTTTGATGTACAGTTGTCCTGCAGGCTTCCAGTCTGCATTCTATCCACCACTGGGTGTCCGTTTGAGCAACAATTGGGAATTGGGTTCGCAGGGCCAAGGTGCAATTAGGACCGTGAAGGGTGACATCCGCACATGCTACTGAACCCAGTTATGAGTACCGGAACCAGTGTCAGGTGCCGGAAGACCTGCCACGAAGCTTTTAAACATCCCAATTGGTGAGATTCGGTGAGCATGCACCAGAAGAAGCAAGGTGCAAAGCTGTGGCGAACGCTTAGCCTGGCAAGCTGCCATCTCCGTGGTAAAGGTGCCGAAGTGCGGGCGTTTTGTCCTGTTTGTTAATCTTCGGTCTTAAAGTGCGGCCAGGGAAGCACCTGCTCGGGAAGTCAGTTCGGTTCGTAGCATTTTAGCAACAAGCATGTTTGGAAGCCTGCTCTTGGTTTCAGCAGCACCATCGCCAAGGGCATCACCAAAACACCCGGAATGATGTGCTCTCCTGTCATCCACATTCTCGTCCTTATGTGGCTAACCACATTTTGTGAGGCGGCCTCACCCTGGTTGGATGTGAGCCCCGACTCCATGAGCTGGGAGCCCGGTTGGGAATCAGGTCCCACAGGTCCGCAACCGACACACGGGGAGCAACGGTTGCAGAGGTGATGCCACCAACGTTGCCACCTGTTTTGCATTGCCTTTAAGATGTCAATGTAATCATGATTCAGGCATAGTGGCACCGGTCTGTCACCATTACTTTTCCAGTTTGCTTTCTCCCCACCATTCCATTTTTGATTCCGTGCAGCTCCATCGCCCCCCTTTGCAGCGCCACAGCTTTGACCTATCTGCGGCCATTCGCAAAGCTCCAGTTGTTGCCCTAGATTTTGCTGTTCAGGCTTCAACACCGCCATCTCTGCATGTAGGGGCTCCCGGACCACAGCAGTTCTGGAAGCAGACATGTGCAGCCATGGGGTCACGGGGTCCCTTACTTTTGGAGCCCTTTGATGCTTAATGATGCTTGAGTGAACATAGTGAACGTCTGACTCCACCTGACAATGTCGGTTTTGTGGCTACCTTTACCCGCCAAGTGATAAAGAGCAACATGCACCACAAGTTTCCTGAATTGCTACATTTGTGCCATCGCGCTTTCGCTTCTTTACACGTCTCGGTGCAGTTTTAGGCCCAAGCAGGCGCCCAAACCTTCCAGCCCAGCCCAGGCGCCCGCGCCCACGAGTGGCAGCAAAGCTTTGTCCGGGACACTCAGCTCTTCGGTGTTTCGACGCTTCGGTGCGCCGTGCGGGCGCGGTCGAGACACTTCGGCCGTTCCGGGCGCGCGGAAGGGGGCGGAAGAAGGAGGGGGCGGATCCTGTCCATCGCAGCCTCCCTTTGTCTCCGACTGGTGAAGCAGCCTCCTCACCACTCGTCGACATGCGCGAGGCCCTGCTCTTTGAGATGGAGGCCCTCCGGATCTCCCCGACGGTGGTGTCCTTCAATGCTGCCATCACCGCGGCGGCTGACTGGGAGGCGGGCCCGGCTGACTGAGTGGGTGAGATCTGAGAAAGAAGCTACTGCTACTAGAAGGTGTGGAGGATGGAGTGCGTTGCAACACGTGGTTTTGTGATTAAGCTGCTCGAAGAAACATGTGGCTGTAGAGGCTGAAGGGCACGGAGCTGCTTTCCAACAGTTTGAGCCAAAATGATCAGCTGTCGTGAAGAAGGTGCAAATGGCCCATTGAATAAGTCAATAGGTGGAGGAGTTGACCAGGTATGCAGTCACGCAGCTACATGGTCATATGGGCAAGGAGTAAACGCCGGTCTTTTCTTGACGGCATTATTTGAATCACTTGATAGGTCATCAGTTTGGCTAAAGTTGCCTGTAGATCCGACACGGATGTCTCAAAATGAGGGATCCCCATCTCCGCCTCGCTGTGACCAATGGCGGCATGCCCGTAGCCGTGCCGACGCCCCCGCACGCGGGGGGAGCGATGCTTGGCATCATTTCCTGGAACCAGTGGTGGGTCCCATGTCAGATGACCCTTCCGCGATGCCAACGTGTTATGTCTTCTTCTTTTGAAGGATGAGTGTTTTGCAAGCTTTCATGCTTCGCCATGGACATCTACAAGCAGCTCCTTGCAAACTTGTGTGTCCAATGAATGTATTTGAGGGGCTGCTTCTGAATTTCTCAATCCCATCAATCAAAACATCAAACAAACGTTTCGATTGGATGAGGCGACATCCGCCTGGGTAGATAGATTTTTAGACTTTAGACTAGACAACAAAAATCGAGGCACAGGCAGGCAGGCAGACAGATAAACAGATAGGTTAAACATGGATGGGAGCCCCATGTTCGGTTGCTCCTTCATGGCCGAGGATGGAGCAGGTGTGGCGGGGCACCTTGCGAAGCTTCTCCAGCTCCACGGGCTACGGCTTTGTACATAACGAAGAGCTGCAGCGGCACTATGGCCGTCCCTCGCAGCTGTCGGAGGGGGCGTGTGCAATGGGATCCTGGAGCGTGTGCGTGTACAATGTGAGTACACTAGAGAACCACGCAGACGAGTCCGAGATGTGTTGTTCTCTCATGTGTGATGTGGTTGCAGGGCTTACGTGGCAAACTAAGAAGACTGATTCCACAGCAGGGTGATGTTTTGCTGGGAAGCCTTGCGCAGTTTGTTTTTTCCCCAATTAGGTTGGAGGCCATCGCTACGGATTATCGCATCTCTTGCCCCCCTCACCTACTCCGTCCGACACGGACCACCGACTCACCTCCCCAACCTCGAGAGGTTCACCGGTTTGGGCGGTGGGAGGTGACGTCTATGTGCAGCAGTCGCAGCTGCCGGAGGGCATCCTCTGCGGCGCGCGCGTGATCTTCACCTGGGTCACCTGGTGTTCGCTACTAGTAACTTCTTGTTACCAGTAGTAGCAGCAGTAGCAGTAGCAGTAGCAGTAGCAGTAGCAGTAGGAGTAGGAGTAGGAGTAGGAGTAGTAGTAGTAGTAGTCGTAGTCGTAGTCGTAGTCGTAGTCGTAGTAGTAGTAAATGCCCTAGCTAGGACGTTACATGACGTTACTAGTAGCGACGCCCTTGTTACTACTAGCGATATGTAACGCGGATTTCGTTGCCGCGGAGTGGAGTGGAGCTGGTGGAGTGGTTGGAGTGGCATGGGGCGTTCTGCAGCAAGATTTGGCAGAATCGGACCATCCAACAAGGGATCTTTACCCGCCCCACCTGTGGGCAAGGGATGGTGTGGGAGCATGTCCGCAAGTCCGTGCATCCAACAAGGGATCTTTTGACATTGGCTGTGTTTGTTGTGTTATGGTTTTCTTTCTGTTTTACTGACATCAGAGAAGGAATGACCTGGCCAAGTGGTGGGGTTACTACAAGAGACGATAGAGTCCGATAGAGTCGAGTAATGCTCATTTTTGCTCCTTATCAATCGCCTGACAGAACTGATTCTGTAGTGGGCTACCTCTACTTCATTCCTTTTTGGCGAGTGGATCAAGCCCTTGTCCTCTGGTGGAACGCCTGAGACCTTGAACCAGCGCGGGCAGCCTCAATGCAAGCAGCTCTGGCCAGAGGTGCGGGTGCGGAGAAAACCATGTCTCGAATCGTCGCATGCTCTGTGTGTGGGCCGCTTCTGACCTTCTGGAACCCGGAGGCAGCTTGCCGTTGATCGACTGGTTGGTCTGGTTGGACTTTGGAACTTGAGGGGGGCGCCTGAGCGAGTAGACGGGCCAGTGGCTGAAACAGTCAAAACAAGTTCAATTGAACTAAAGGGGCCGGCGAGTAAACCAATCGCTTTATGACTCGATCGATTTGGAGGGGTTTCCAGTCCTCAATCCGAGATTGGGGTGTGACCAGGACGGCCCAAAACAGCCAGGACACAACGGAGGCCGACCAGATGGCAATGTTCCAACTGTTGCCCCTGTTGTTTGACTTCGAGACCTGCTCAGTCGACGCTCGGTGGACGCTCATCAGGTGGACAAATTGAATGACACCTATATCGCATTTGAATTACTCTCCATTTTTTAGAATAAAGACAGGAACTGTTGACCCCAAAAAGACGGCAAAGATCATAACAAGCTTCGTCTTTTGGGTTTGTCCTTCGTTCCCTTTATACCTTTTGTCTTTGTGGAAAGCATTGGCAATAAGACCAAAACAATAATGACGGATCCTACCGGCCAGGTTGTATATACTGTATATAGGTTTGACCAGTTTGACCAAGCGTCGAGCAGGTTGCCAGCGGTTGCCACAGCACCAGGGCTAGGTTGGCACCAGGCCTAGGTTGGCCCTACCAGCAAAAATATCCCAAAGAAGAGTTTCTGACATGGGATTGACCAACAGTCCATCCTTTTCTGAGTCGTGGCGGCCCTGCAACTGGTAGAGGGGCCCTGAGTCTTGCGAGCTATATGAGCCTTAACCTTCTCGCCAGTGTTGTCTGGTGAGGGAGTGAGATGATGGGACATTGCTTGGTGTGCCTCATACACGGCTGTGGGCTGCAAGGACACGGGCGAAGCCACTACGAGGCTGCTGTCTTGGAATATCTTGGCACCAGGGTATTGCAATGGCCATTACTTCAAGGACCGGCTTGGAGTTTCTTTTGCACTTTGCGGCCAGAGCACTCAATTTGTAAATATTGTTTGCACGGCTCCCAGCAGTTTTTCTCCTAACAGACTCGCAGGGTTCAAAGGCGCCAGAACAAACGTTAAAAAGGCGGATTGCTACTAGTAACAAGAAGCTACTATGGAGGCCATCGCTATCAGGTTGGAGGCCATTACTACTAGCTTTAGTATGTTTTTTGAACATTTTTTTTTCGGATGGAGTCACCATATCGATTTCTTGCCAGGACGTGCACCCAGACGCTCTCCGATGGTCACGCCGTGCGGTTCAGATCAAGGCATTGCTGTGGTCCTACTGTCCGGAGATCGTTTGCTTGCAAGAGGCTGAAAGGGGAGGAGCGGGACGTGGGCACCCAAGCAAGTGAGACGTCATCCGCATGGAAGCACTAGGTGATATGAGGGACCAGTAGCGGGTATTGGTTCAATCCTTTCCTTCTAGCTGGTCTGACAACTTCAGACCACTTCAGCGCATACTGTCTATTGTTGGGGAGGAAGCCAGATTCTATTGGGTCAAGGACCTATGGTGATTGAGAATTGAGAGCCAGTTACTTCCATTGGGAGGTCGAGCTTCACCGTCCGTTGGAAGAGCTTGGCTTGCGACTTGGAGCCATTTCTGTCGTCGGGTAGCTGGCCGGTTTGTGTTGGGAAACTCTACCGAACCTGCTCCCAATCCCTCCATCCAACTATCGCCACCGCTGGCGGCACGCTGTGTTGGCGCTGCACCTGGCAACGGGGTAAGCTGTTCGCTGTTTCGATCGTGTCCAAGCCCCTTCAGCTTTCACGTCGGGGGGGTTCAAGGGAGCTTGGTAGATTTGTCAGCTCAAACCACCATGTAGCGGAGCTCCAAGATTTGAGTATATAGATTACGTGCCGGGTTCCTCAAGTAGTAGATGTCAAGAAAGGAAGACAATTTCCTGGAAGCCAATGGCCTAGAACGATTTCCACCGTTCATTGGTGGTAGCAAGTGTAGCGCTGCTCTTGGTCGCTTCTTGCGGTTGCCCCACGCGCACGAGCCACGGAAGCACGGCACGAGGTCTGAATACCAGACGGCGTACCTTGGTGAAATAGAGACTTCCAGAATGGATTGAACGTGAAGCTTCGAGGTTTATTGGGGTTCTGTGGGCTTTTGGTTGGTGGGACAACTTCATCAAGTGCTGCTGTAGATGTCGCGCTGGCGTGTGATGACTTGGTGAGACCTTTGGAAGGTAAGGAAAGGTTACTCCAGGTTTTGGTCCGGTTTGGTAAGCAGTTTTAAACACATTTATATAAGAACAAACAGATTCCACTACAGATGGCCAGCTACTGATTGGGGCCAGGCCACGAATCCAAGGAGGAGCCCGTTTGCCTCTAGGGACTCTAGGAGTTACATACGTCGTTGGGTCACAATAGTAGCAGCGGCTAAGATGGGAGAATGCATGACTCAACGGATTACATCTGATTTTTGCTTCTTTGGCTGCATTGTATGGTGAAGGTTATCAAGTTTAATGCCTCTTCCAGCATGGTAGGAGCCGCATAATGGCAGGAATTGCGGGTATTTCATACAGTGTGGATGATAGTGGCACGGCTTCCAATACATTTTCTAAGTGGGGATCTACTTTTCGATCTATTTGCGGGTCATTTCTTTTGGGGTTGAGAGGGGTGGCGATTGGTGGACCCTGGCGACTGGTGGGACTGGTGGCTGGTGGCTCAGGCAAGCCCAACGTCCTCCCGGGCCCCATGGTCTGCGTCTCGACGGCTGCTTGGTGGCGTGGCGTTCCGAACGCTTTCAGTTGCTGAGGCGCGCAGGCGCGCGAGCCCGCAGAGCCTGCGCACTCGGGTGTTGAGCCCTTGTTTCTGCAGATCACCAGAAACGGAGACCTCACTGATGTAATGACATGTACTGTAGATTCTTGACTTAAAAATGGAAAACCGTCTGAAGAGCTTGTGTAATCCCATGCGGGGTAGTGACTCTGAGTCATCAAGAGTCCACATCACAGTTGCTTCTGATACAGTGGTTTCAGAGTAGATGGCGCAACCTCCAAGATTACTTGTAGATGGGGCCTAGCTTGGGGGCCCTTGTGCCATTGGTCCTCTCAATCCACTGACCTCCTCGTTTCGTCTAGGACACCCCTTGAGTGCCATCCACTCCAGGCAGCAGGCCATCTCCTTCGACGACTGGCTCCCACCATCTCAGCACTCGGGCCACGTGGGGCTGCCAATTGATGCGGTTGGATCCAGTCGCGTGAAGTCGCGTGGTGAGTTGGGTGCAAAAAGGATGGAAGACGTGAAAAAAAGGATGAGGAGGCAGCAAGTCTAGTGGAAGATTTTGGAATACTTGGTTTGGGCTCATTGATTTTGGACCCCACTTCTTACTGTAGATGCTTCAGAGTTCCTCCAAGCAGAGGATGGACTCAAGGGAACAAAAACCGTCCAAAACACATATTTTTGGGACACGTGTCTTGAAGCGTCGGCTTTCGATCTCTTTGAAGCACCCTGCAGGCCTTGCCCACCCCCTTACAGCCAGCATCTACGGCTGGGTCGGCAGCGCTCTCCGGCCCGTCCAGGTCGCCTTGTTGCTGGAGCTGCGTGCCGCGAGCACCGCGAGCACCGCGCGCACCGCTGGCCGTGCGGCGGCGCCGCTGCTGGTGGCCACGACTCACCTGGCATGTGGCGAAGAGCTGGAAGAACAGCGAGTAGCACAGGTGAGCGGACGCGTTTTTTTCATGGGGTGGCGGACGTGTGGTTGGAGGGCCTCGGGCATTTTTATGAGCTGAGCATGTGGAGGAGAGAGCCTGCCATGAGCCACGAGGATTTTTGACAGAATCTATCACCGACCAAGGTCTACCGCCTTGCTGAGAAGAAGCACTTGCCCCAAGCAAGTCAATATTGATATCTCCATGTCCATTTCATGCAGTTTACGAAGTGGGAGAGATTGAGCGGCCGATACAGACTCAATTCTTCTATCCGTTTCAGGTTTTTCCTCTCCTGCGGGCCCGACAAAAGGCCAAGATCCTTCTGGAGGCCATCGATCAGTTCCATGCTGAGCAGGTGGTGCTTTGTGCCATGGCAGAGTTGGAGAAAGGCTAGGCGGCCGCGGCAGTGCAGAAACAGGAGGTTTTAGGAGGAACGGCGTTTGTCGCTAGCTCACGTGTGGAGAAAGCCAGCCAAGGTCGATCCAAAGGTACAGCGAGTTGGGGTGGATGCCCCGAAGACTTGTCACTATTCCTGTTGATCACCCACACCTAATCACTAGCAGCCCACCATCCTTGTCCCATTCCTCCTTTTCCTCCGTTTACGGCCGACCTTGGAGCCTCAGGTGGAGACTTGAACTGCACACCCAACAGCCGCACCCACCAAGTCCTGGCTGAGTGCTACTACTCCGCCTGTCAGGCAGCCGGGAATGCGCGTTTTGGGATAAGTTGCGCAGAGTTCTCAGCGTGTTTTTGCAAGGCTTGTAGCTTCGTGATGCACTATACTGATCCCAAGAGGGATGGGAGTAGTCGGAGGCTCGTGGAAATTACACCTTTCCTGTCTCATGTGCTTTGAGCTCATCACCAAGGAACATGTAGTTTGAGCCATCGTCCACGATTTCACCCCCGGCCGGGCGTTTTGTTGGAGGACCTGGAGGCCTTGCAGGGCGACGATGCACCTTGCACGGCGACCAATGCCAGCGTGAGGGCGGGCGAAGGCTTTGCAGAGTGTCTGGGGTTGCAGCCTGAGGGCGTTTGCCTGGGGGGCTGGAGTCTGGGGAGCCCTGCAGAATTTTGAATGGAGGGTGATGAGGCCTTTGACTTGGGAAGAAAAACCGGTGGATCGCTGTGGAGTGATGGATGACCGTCTTGGGGAAGAAGCGTGCGGGGATTGTTGCCCGGAGTGAAGTAGAAAACCAAAAAGTAGCAGACGGTGCACACGGAAGAGGGACGCGTCTACAACGTGTTTGCTCCGACTGCTTCGGGCTTTCATTCTAGATTTGTTGAGGTCTGTGCATGTCTCGAATTCAAAAAGCAACCAGTGGTCCTCGTTTAGGTTTTATATACCTTTTATAACAATGATGGCGCCCTTCGGTGGGCTCGAAGCCATGGGCGAAGCCACACCACCTGGACCTTTTCTTCCGGTGTGTTCGAGTCTCCCCTGAGCCAAGGATCATCGACTACTGCTTCCTGAACCGTCCAGGCCATCATACATGGAGGGCCGAAAAAGCATGGCATGCATGCCACTATGTGCCACATGACATGTTGGTCACCAATCCCCAGTCATCAGATCTTACGTATCTCAGATCCCAAAATCAAGGAAAGAACAATACCAGCAACCAGTACGTCAGTTTATTGTCCAAAGCATACAATGAAAAATCAACAAGACTGCTGTTTAAGAGACCATCCGAGAACGCTGGTATTTGTGTTTGCTTTTGACTGCAACTTCCGTGACCCTGCCCAGAACACGGAAACAGTGTCTGTCAGGCCCTACCATGCGCCTGAATCTTTTTTTGGCATGCCTTGGCGATGTGTTTTTTGGTAAGGTGAATGGCACTTTGGGTTCAATTGTGGTGACTGTAGCACGTTGACCTTTTGATTTTGGACTGTGCATTGCCAACCCCAGGTCAGAAAGAGGTTCAGACTTCTCATGCAATCGCCACCTGCAACAGTTCTTGTAGAGGTTTGCTCAGAAGGACTTGCTGAACGGTACACTGCCTGACAGGGGCCCATACGAATCTAACGTTGAAACGGTTCCGGAACGGTAGCTTTCACTTTGGCTCAGATTTCTTGAGTGTTTTCCGGCCTCTTCTTGTTCGCTGCCTTTTCCAGCTGTCTCTTTTGTTCGTTTCTCATTTTCTTCGTTTGTTTTTCCCGCTTCTCATTTCCAAGGTTTTCCGAAATCCTTTCTGCTTTTGCCATAATCCAATCAATATTTTGTTTATTTGGTCAATCACCAATCAACCCTTCGACATCTTTCGACTGTAGGGATCCCGGACTTGCTGCCGCAAGGCTCATCTGGAAAGGTTTTAAAAGGGGATCGTGGCATCAGCTGCTGCGTGCAAGCTGGCCTGAGTCCAGCCCAAACAAAGGCAAGCAAATCCTTTGCGTGGCAAAAGGTTCTTCCCCAAATGCAGCCTTAGCAACACAAGTGGCAATGTCCAACACGACGTCTGGCATCTTACAGTATAGGCTATAGGACAATTGTTTGTTTTACCAACGTGGCACCCATCCATCCACCATCCACCAGCTTTGTTTTCCTGGACGTCTTCCGAGCGCCGCCAGGCGCTGCGTTGCGGCGCTGGCGGCCGCCCTCGCGGCAGCAGCTGCGCTGTCTTCTGGGTGCCACGGTCTCTGCGCCGGTGCCGACGTTGATGCGTGGGGGGCATTGGCCATCGGCCGCGCGGTCGAGAGGTTGGAGACCGCCGGTTGGGTGGAACAGACCAGGCTCCGAGGTGTGGGGAAACCAAAGGTGGAAAGGAGAGGTGGGTGGGTGGCGCTTGGCTAGGCATTTGGGGCTCGGACATGAGGTCCCGCAACATGAATTCCTTGGCGGTAGAGCGGAGCGAATTGATTCAGATGAGTCTCTTCCAGGATCCTGCCTTGTTATAGGGTGTGTAGCAGAGACTAGCCGCCTAGCCGGGCCTAGCCCTCCCAGAGGTGACTTGGATACCCATCACTGGGAAAATGCTAGAATTCTGTAGAGCTCTAAAACCTTCACAAATGATCAATGTATTCAATTTCCCACGTGGCCAGTTCCAGTTTCTGGTTCATTTCCTTTGTATAAACATGGCCGACGCCGGGCCATGCATCCCGGTATCGGCATTTTCGGCGTTGACCTGGGCCATCTGAGGATCACTTGCCAGTGGTGGTGGACCTAGCCCTGAGCGAGCAAGGTCTTCAGTGAAAAGAGCGAAGCCCATGGGGCCCCAACAAAAAAAAGCATCCAGCAGTGAATGGAGCCTGAGCTATGACCAGACTTGCCATTCTCCAGGGGTGCCGGATTTGATGCTGTACCAAATCTACATGCATGACCTTGCCTGAAGCAGACGCGATTTGTTTTCAGTCCAACGGAAACGCCATTAATCCATGTAAGTTGGCAGGCTCATGAGGCTCCAGAAGGGTTCCCCATGAGGGCGGAAAGTGTCCGCGTGGAAAGTGCCCAAGACCCATGCAGGCAAGCTCCTTTGCAGTGCTATCATTGCAGCTTACACTCCGAGTCGCTGACATGGAAGTGGAAAACCACCTGTTTGTAAAGGACACATGCGTCCAACAGGCCATTTTCCACTTGCATGATGGTTGGGAGGGTAGTGTGGGTCATTCAAGACCCATGCAAGAAATTGACGGGACATGAATTGTCACCAGGTCCCCACAATCACCTCACCAGAAGCGTGATGTTCCAAACGTTGTGCGATGTTCCTCACCATCCGACCACCGGCTTTTGAGTGGCAGCGGTGATATTGTAGAGGCTCTCGCTGGAGAGGGCAGGACGTGCACTGGTTGCCCACAGTTGCCCGTCTGGTCGTCTCCAAGTCTCTAAACAGCCCTCTTAGCAGAACGTAGGTCATCACCGCAGCACTTCAGCATTTCCACAGCGCCGCTTCGGCAGCCCAAAGTGGCTGGCAGCTGGTGATTCTTGACAACAGTGGCACTTCTCGTTAGAAATGGTCTAAGCATGCAACATCCACTGGAGATTTCTCGAAAAGGTGCATTAACAGTGGGTTCATCCCAAAAACTGTGGAATCAGTCCCGATAACATAGCCATCCCCCAACAAATTCCCCCGTGCTTGAAGATGCCTCCGGCAAGCCAAGTGAAAGATAGCCATGGGAGAAAAGGGGGTCAGGTTTTCCAAGAATCTCCATGAATCTCCACGAAAAAGCCCTACTCTGTACTCTGGTTGGGCCTTCATCTCGGACTCCTAGCCGTCTGGCCGTCTCCGTCAACTCTGGCGACCATTCGATGCATGTGCTCCGCCCATCATGGCGCCTTCGCGCGCGGAGACTTGGCCAGGCCGCGCAGGCGGAAACGGGAGGGGTGACCAGCATCGCTCAAACCTGCGTGCACTTGGATCGGACACCGCCAGGAAGTGTGGCAGGGTGAGGGCCTTTTTGTGTCAACTTTTAGGAGGAAAGCTAGGTCAGGTCGCGACCGTTTCAGCTAGAGTTTCAATAGGTATGGATAGGTATGGGTAAAGAATCCCTCTAGATGAGTGAGGATGCCAAGATGAATAGGATAGATCTTCGCATGGCTGTGAGTTGCCATTTTCCAAACAAATTGGTTCTTCTGGGTTGAATGTTGCCAAGTCAAACACCCCGGTTTGACCAACTGCGAGAGGAAGGTGCTGGTTGAGTTGAGGATGGTGCAGTAAGCTGTTGAGAATATGAGAACGAACATCAATCTTTCGCACAACTGAGTAGGCTAGTGAAGTGAGCCCTTCAAGCTTTGAGGCTCACTCCTTCAAGCTTTGGGACTCATTTATCTTATTGTGAAATTTGAGCATGACATGCCACAGAACCGAACGCATATGAGCTGATGTGTCCGCCGCCATTTCCCGATCAGGTGCGCACCGAGCCTCGTTCGCTTTTTGTGCGAAAAGGCGCCGTCCTTTTTCGTTTCATGTGACACGACACCCCGTCGCACGTGTTGTGTTCAGTTGGCACCGGAGCCTCCTCTTCTGTGCATTCCCTGCCGAACGGTTGGACGCATGCTGAGCTCGCAGAGCTGGAAGAGACGCTGGCCGCAGATGAGACTACAGATGATCCAGGTGCGTGGACCTCAAACCCCAGACCTTGGCGCTGTTTGAGATGCCACTCCAGTCATTGGACCTCGTTGGGCAACGACACCTATGCATGCCAGGTCTGTGATTCTCGAGAGTTCTACGATTCTTCGGAACCCCGAAGGCACCAGACTTCTGATGGTGTTTGGATGTATGTTCCTGCGGTACGGTCCGATGGCTCACCCAATGAGGATCCGCCCCCATTTGCTTCCCGGAGGCAGTCCGAGGATCAGCGAGCCGCTGACCCGGCACGGGAAGCAGGTGAGAGCGAGAATCCAACCCACGATCCTTCGGTGGACACCTCGGTTGACTATGTTTGGCCTCAAGGCCTTGGTTCTGAGTTGTCGGCCGCCAGTTCAAGACGTCAACGAAGGAGAAATCGATCCACTGCGCAAGAAGTACCTAGCAATCCATCGCCTTCAGGTGTTCCTTTGCCGGCCATGCTGCCGATCGAAGCTCGAGGCAAGGGAGTTGGCAAGAGTTCAGACGACTCGGAGCTCCTCAAGGTGATGAAGCAGTTGCTTGAGGAGCGCAAGAACGACAAGTCCTCGCAGAGCAGTTGGGACACCCGTAAGGGACCGTCGCCTGGCAGAAAGTGGAAGGGTGGAACACCACCAAATCCACCCAAGTGGAACTACAGCTCCTCGGACCTCCGCGCCTTCTCCAAGTTCGAGCGTCGGGTCAACGTTTGGAGATTACAGGTTCAGAATCAGTTGACCGGCGCTGAGGCCGGTTTGATGCTGTTCTCAAGCCTGACAGGCGAGGCCGAGGCAGAAAGTGAACACATGGAGCTGTCGAGGGTGAATGACAAGAATGGCGTGGACTACATTCTTTCGTGCTTGAAGGGGCCGCTTGAGCAGAAAGTTTTGTATCAGAAGCGTGCATTGCTTGCAAACTATGAAGTTGTTGCCCGCACTGCAAACGAAACGATTCGACAGTACATCAATCGATACAAGCGGATTGAACGTGATTTGCAAGCAGTTGGCATACAGACAGGTGCAATGTATGACTCAGAGTCGAGGGGAAATAGGATCCTTGAGCGTTGTAAGTTGGAACCTTCATTGGCCCGTTTGGTTTTGATTGGTGCACACAACAGCTTGGATTTTGATGCCATTGTTGAAAGTTTGCAGCTACAATTCCCCGACTTTAAGACCACGCCAGCAGTGTTTCATCAGCATCAGCCTCCATGGAAGCAGCCACAGTCGTTCAAGTCCAGTGGAAAGTCGTACAGTTCCACATCCGCCTCCACCACTACGAGCTCAAGCTCAACGGTGCCGTCATCGGCATCAGCCTACAACCGCAGCAAAGGCAAAGGAGGGTATCCACCTCGCAAGGTCTTCCAGGCCGAGCACGAAACCGTGCATGAAGCTGAAAACGAAGACGAGCTCGCAACGGCCGACATGGCCGCCGAGGACGAAGAGTTCTTCGAGCCCGAGGAAAACCCCGATGCCTCACCGTCAGTCGACCCTGATCCGGACCAGGAAGATGACGATGATTTGGGTGCGTCGCTAAGCGAATTGGCATCCGTGCTCACGGTCACTTCCAACAAGTTGAAAGCAGCTACATTGGGTCGAAAGTTCACTGGACGCAAGTCCATACAAGAGAGGAAGCGCACAAGCAGTTGTTCAGCTTGCGGTGCCATCGGCCATTGGGCTGGTGACACCGAGTGTCCAGTCTCGGCCAAAGGCCCTGGCAAAGGAGGAAAAGGCAAGAGCAAGACTGCAACTGGGGGGACCCAATCCTCGACTTCCTCGTCCACCTTCCCCAAGAAGACGTTCGTGGTGACCTATGGGGATGAACAACAACAAGATCCACAAGATCCCTTCTACACCTTCCCGGCCAACCTCATGGTAGATGTTCCGGATGCCCCCTTCGTTTATGTCACCGAGACCATTGACTTAGCTGGCTACATGGTGTTGGACACGGCATGTCAACGGTCATGTGCTGGGAGCCGGTGGATGGGTACACATATGAAGTTGTTGGGAAACCATGGGTTGCAACATCACCAAGTACCATGCGACGATCGATTCCAGTTCGGTGCAGGTGCATGCCAGCAAGCAGCAACCCGCTGCGACTTTCCAGCTGCCTTCATCAGTCAGGAGACTCAGGGCATTGTTTTGGGTGCAAGCGTTTTGGATGTCAACATTCCGTTTTTGGCTAGTCGCATCCTCATGGAACAGTTGGGCTGTGTCATTGACATGCATCAAGGCATTTTGCATTTTGCAGTTGTTGGCATTCGTGTTCCATTGAAACGCAAGCACGGACATTTGGTTGCATGCATCACGGCATTTCCTCCGAGAGTTTCGCACATGTCTTGTTGGAGTGATTTGCAAGATGATCGTTTTTGGCATGAACCTTCACCCGAACTCGTCGTGCATCCCGAAGCTTTGGCTGTTTCAGACGTTGTTTCCACCACGGCTTTCATCTATGCGGGCCAGTCCGTCGACGAGACAGCCACCCACATGGCTGGAGCATTGGAGGACCTTTCTCCTCCATTTGTTCCTGTTGGAGTTCAATGTCATCAAGTCCATGCGCAAGCTGGTGCGCCTCGGAATCCGTCCAAGGACATGGCTCAGCAGCATGGGTTTGCTCGAGCTGCAGGAGAAGCATCGTGCACAGATGCAGAGGACCATGGTGTCACAGAGGGATTGCACATTGCACTCACCCCGAGTTCCAGCGATACGGCAACCTCCACGGCCGCTTCGCCAAGTGCAAGAGATGCGATCAAAGGTTCAAGTGGAACCAAGAGCTCGGAGCTTGGGCGGTACACTCACCAACATCTTCAAGCTCGTCTGCACTGCCCTTACCCTCACAGGACACAATCCTCTCTCCGTCAGAACTGGTTCACAGGACCACGGCAGCCAAGAGCAAGTCCAAAGCAGCCAAGAGCAAGAGCAAGCCAGCGCCACGTCGGCCCTCCGACACCAGATCAACCACCAGCTCAGGCTCCATGAGACCCATGATCCACGACCTGACGATGAACGACTACCAGGGATCGGGGTACACTCGAGAGGAGTTCGAGAACATCATGGAATGCTACGAGGAAAGGGAGCCGACCTCAGACAATCCGGATCAGTACCACTCCGATCTGGAGAGCTGGGACTGGAGGGCATGATGGACAGTGACCATGACTATTGGGAAAAGGGCAAGAACAAGCTCACGAGGCATCATAACATGCCTCGACTGTTGCTGTACAACCTTCATCACCAAGACTGCCCGATTCCAAAACACCTGCTATGGTCAGAATGCCGAGCAGAGGTACAGTATGAAGACGGGACATTTGAAACCGTCCAATATGATTGGAGGAGCCACCAGGAGACTCAGCTCAAGATGCCATGGACTGGCCGGACGGTCTTCACCATCCAGAATTCGAACAACCAGTCCACAGGCCTTCTGTCATCAGCCGCTCGAAGGGCTCTTCGAGGCAAGCTGAGAGAGCTGCACCGTGTCTACAAGATAGAATATGACCTGGTGAGCCAATCCAAGGATGATGATCACCTGCTCGAGCACTTCAAGAAGTCACGGGACACACGGTCCAAGGTTGACATCCTGGAGACATTCGCAGGGCAAGCCAACATCTCCAGAAGAAGCGGCCAATTTGGCCTTAGTGCGGCAGCGCCCATCGACTATGCAACCGGATGGGACCTTCAGAAGACCGCCCACCAGCAAGAAGTCGAGTGGCAACTGGATCAACTCAAGCCCTTGATCCTCATTCAGGGCATCGATTGCCGCGACTGGTGCGTCCTTCAGGACAACACCAACTATGTCAGGAGGAAGATCCTTTTGCTCATGCGTCGAGCTAAGGCACGCAGACTGTTGAAGAAGGTCTGCCAATGGTGCCGCAAGCAAGTGGATGAAGGACGCATGTTCCTGCTGGAAAATCCCACTACCAGTCGGATCTGGTTCGAGCCTGTCATGATCAGCCTGCTCAACCTTCCTGGTGTGACCACCACAACTTGTCATGCCGGATCATACGGCGCGCAGGACTCGAGGGGCAACATGATCAGGAAGGGGCACAGGTTCATGGGCAACTGCCCTCACGTACTGGCACGCCTGAGCCGCAAGCTCACACCAGACCAGCAGAAGCAATGTGTGCCACTCCAAGGCAAGGAAACCAACCTTGTCACAGCACTACCCACCAGAGATGGTCGCCGAGATCCTCAAGGGTGTGCAAGAAGAGGTACACCACCGACATCCAGATCGACAGCACCAGCCACGTACCTTTTTCACTACGTTCATGGTCACAGCAATTGACCAATGGGCAGAAGCACTCCAGATGGCTGACAGCACGTTCCAAGTCACTCGATACAAGTCCTTCACGCTGCCTACATCAGATCCACTCTTCCTCAAGGCCTTGGAGCTTTCTCAATGGAAGCACGTGAGGGTTCAGATCGCAGCACAACCCATCACCTGGCGATTTCCCTGGCACGTGCCTCACACCCACAGGGCAGCCGTGCTCAGATACACCGACGGCCAGGTGGATGTCATTGAAGAAGATCTTCAAGAACTACGTCGCCCAAAGGCACGGTTCAAGAAGCCAGTGGACGTTGGCATTTTCATGTTCGGACAAGCCCAACAGGCAGAACCACACGAATCACATCCTCCAGAGGCCAAACGCCTCCGACCAAACCAGGACGACACAGCCACGCCACAGGCATCAGACCGGCCAGATGACAACCCACGAAGCATTATGCCAAATCCCTCGGAGGACTCTCTCAAGATCAGTGCGGAGATCAAGAACAGCCTCCGTCGGATGCACAAGAACCTCGCACATCCCAGACCAGCAGAACTCAAACGACTGCTGGCTATGAATGGCATTTCCGACCAGCGGATTCACACAGCCGTTGAGTCGATGTCGTGCGATACATGCAATCGCACCAAAGGGCCGTCCAGGCCTGCTCCAAGTGGCGTGATGGCCGATGATGGAGCATCCCAATTTGCCGACAGAGTCCAGATGGACATCTTCTACGTCAGAGACCTGACAGGAGCAAACCATATGATCCTCGGGTCATTTGTGAAGTCACTCACCTTCACTTGGGCTTCCTCCTCCAGAACCGCTCACCGGAGGAGATCACCCGCTGCTTCACCTTAGGTTGGGCCAGGGCATTTGGCTTTCCACTTCGGATCAGAACGGATCCAGATGGCTCATTCCGAGCCGCCTTCGAAGCAGCTATGGATGAAGCCGGTGTCTACATGGACTATGTTCCGGCAGAAGCACACAACAAGATAGGCCTCATTGAGCGCCACAATGCAACATACAGATCACTCATGGAACGAGTGATAGAACAGCAAGCAGTTGTCGGCAGCGACCAGATGGAGCTCACAACAGCTGCAGCAGCACACGCCAAGAACTCCTGCACATGGTCGGCGGGACGTCCGCCATACGTGGCCGCTTTCGGCCGCATTCCACGACAAGGCATGGAGCTCTTGAGCGATCCACACGGCCTTGTGACAGGCCAAACAAGAGCACAAGCACAACAGCTCGCAGACACTTTGCGGGTCGAGGCACAGCAACAGATAGCTGCCATGTCAGTTGACAGCACTTTCCGGCGGGCACTCCTCCGGAACACAGCACCGACAGAGCAAGACATCCCAGAAGTTGGCAGCATCGTCGCCTACTGGCGTTGGACCGCCAGGAGCGGCAAGAAACGAGGCGGGTACAAACTCGCAAGGTTGCTTGGCCGCGACCCAGACGGCAAAAGCATGTGGGTTCAAGCAGGAACCAACACTGTCAGAGTCGCCCCTCACCAGCTGCGGGTGGCTCGTGGCTTTGAGAACTGGAACCCCGACTACCAGCAGATCAAGGCCCTCAGACAAGCCTCACACAATTTGGACGACAACAACATCCAGGATGATACAGTTCCAGCACCACCGGAACAACTGGATGACCCAGACCAACCACTCGGGAACGATGACCACGAGCTCATTCCCGAGGTTTCTGAACCGGCATTACCTCTTCTAGTACCTCAGGCCTCAAGGACCAACCAACAGGCAGAGCACACAGAAGAGGCAGTACAGACAGATCCCTACCTGCAACAGCAGAGCAGTGCACCACAAGTTGAGTACCATCTCAACGTGCACTCACCGACATACAAGCAGACCATCATACACCCACAAGCACAGCCGAGTACACCATTCGGCATGACACCAGAGCAATGGATGCAGCCGGCAGTGAATGTACCTGTGAGAAAACAACACCGCTCCCGCACACCAGGCGCCCGCAGAGCAAAAGCACTGGGATGAGCAACACCTACAGCAGGAGCACTCACCAATGAACCACAGGCATCCAGCACGGCAGCACAGGCATCACATCATGCTCTACCACCGAGCCAGAGCACTCCGGCTCAACCACCAGGTCCACAGGCAAGTGAAGCAGAGGTCATCGATGTTGACGGCCTATCAGACAAGACACCACCGCTGCAGCAAGACCACTTGGCTCACGTAGTGCCGTCCACACCACCGGACTTAGCACTGGACGCACGGCAAACCTCTAAGAGGAGCAGCACCGAGATGGAGCAGCCGATACCAGTGCAAGCACCACGAGCCTCAGCAGACTTCGCAGCACTGCTGACAAAACACGTTCGGCAGCAGCGGATTGGCAACAGCACTTACATCCTCCACGGATATCAGAACATGGCAAAGGCAGCCAACACCACAGGCACTGGCCTTCACGTTTGGGCCAGACTTGACACCGCATCACATTGCCTCCAGACCACCCATTTTGCGGGTCCGCCCAAAGGATCCATCCAGCACAGGAGGGTACTCACTCACCCTCACGGCAAGGTCGTATGGGACGCTCCATACGACAGCGATCAAGATGGTCGCGCAATTCTCCCAGAGCGCACAAACCTGATCACAGAGCTATGGCATGAACCTTATGCAGCACATCTCTCCTCCCTGGAAACAACTCCAGACGGCATCCAGTTCAGAGACCACTACCACGATGGCAGTGAACACGTGAAGATGCCGTATGCTTGCCACTATGCCTTTCAGGCATACCGGGCAGCCCCAGGCTACACTGGCACCGGTGAGTCTAGCGACTCCGAAGCCTCAGCCGATGACATGACGGCTGGACATCAGGACACCACCAAGACCCTGACACGCCAGGAACAAAAGGCCCTGGACAAGGAAGTCCCTTGGCAAGCAATACTGGAGATGAACCAAGAAGATATCGACAAGTATGTCGATTCGGCAAAGGCCGAAGAGACCTCCTGGCAACAGTTCCACAGCGTGATCCCTCTCACGACCCAGGAGGCATCCCAATCCTCAAGAAGAGGATCCTGCGGTCAAGAGCCGCGTACAGAGACAAGGCAAAGGGACAAGGCCCGCTCAAGGCCAAGACACGGGTCGTCGCCTTGGGTCATCTCGACCCTGACTTGAAGGAGCTTTGCCGAGAGAGCGCTACACCAACGCGCCAAAGTGAATACATGTTGTATGCAATTTTCATTGCAGGCCACAACAACATGTTCCTTGATGGCCGTGACAAGTGGCAGCTATGGTGTGGCGACATCAAAACCGCATTCCTGCAGGGGACGCCAGATCCTCGTCGTCTTCCGTTGTACATGCTTCCACCTCAAGATGGGGTAACCAAGCTTGCAGGAACTTTTCGTTCACCGCTCTACAAGATTGTTGGTAACATCTATGGCCTTGCAAGCGCCCCCAGGACATGGTCGTTGCATGTTGTCAAGGAGCTCACCACAAAAGCCGGATTCCGCCAGCGTTCGCTGGACAAGATGTTGTTTTATTTGTGGGAGCGCCTGCCTGGAGATGAGCACGAGTCGTTGGCAGCAGTTTTGGTTGCATACGTTGACGACTTCCTCCTCACCCACAATGAGCGTTGGGACAGGTCCAAGCTCACCCGACTTTTCCAGTGGGGAAGTCAAGATGCCCTCACGGAACAACAGAGCTTGGTGTTCAAAGGAAAAGAAGTCAGCCTGAAACGCCAAGGTGAGGTTTGCTACCTGGCCCTGACCCAGTCCAAGTTCATCGCTGGCATGAAGGTTGGCAATGTCGCATGCAAGAAGCGACTGGATCAGGTGATCCAACCGGAAGACATGCCGGAGTTTCGCTCCGTTGCAGGATGTTTGCAGTGGCTTGCAGGTCAATGTCGACCAGAGGTGGCATCAACAGTTTCGTTGTGCAGCCGCGGAACAAAGTCCACCTACAAGGACTTGCAATGCCTATATGATGCAGTACATTTGCTCCATGCTTCACCAAACAGCGGCATCAACATGTGGCCAGTTCCAGTCCACCAGCATAGTTTGCTGGTCAGTTTTTCTGACAGCTCATGGGCCAACGCTGAAGGTTCAGCTAGCCAGCATGGCAACTTGGTCCTCATTGCTGACCCTAAGATCACCGACACCACAGGGACAGGATTGCTGATAGATTGGAAGTCAAGCCGCAGTAGCCGAGTTTGCAGGAGCACATTGTCGGCAGAAGCAAGTGCATGTGACACTGGAATTGATCGAGCCGCTTTTCTTTCATTCCTGCTGTCCGAGATGATTTTCTGCTGCCCTTCGTTCAAGCTGACCCGGACACTTCGCATCATCGGTGTCACTGACTGCAGATCGTTGTACGATGTTTTGGTCAGCGAGAATCCTCGCACGGAGGACAAAAGGACCATAGTGGTCATCAGAGCCATCCAGCAATACCTGCAAAGGCCTGACGTTCACTGGGTTCCGACCCGCCTCCAATGGGCAGACAGCTTGACAAAGCTGAGTGACAAGCTGGTCACCACTTTCATGCAGTGGCTTGAAAAGCCATGGATCCAGCTGAGGGAGACGGTCACGAAGACACATCAAGCTCAACAGAATACCATGAGTGTGAAATTTGAGCATGACATGCCACAGAACCGAACGCATATGAGCTGATGTGTCCGCCGCCATTTCCCGATCAGGTGCGCACCGAGCCTCGTTCGCTTTTTGTGCGAAAAGGCGCCGTCCTTTTTCGTTTCATGTGACACGACATCCCGTCGCACGTGTTGTGTTCAGACTTATACATTTTACAAAGCCAAAGTTATAAACCTTACACTTTTGGGATCCTCAACTTCCGCCATGGGATTCCTAGAATGATTGAAGGATGTAGCCGTGCAGTTTGATTCCTTGATGCTCTCCTGACAACAATCGTCGCCGGTGAGATTCGCTCGCAGACTTGGAACACATCTCGGCCAAGCGTCCTGGAACAAGGTGTTCGTGTCTCGAAGTTGTAGCGGCTTTTTGAACTTGCTCGCGGTGTGTGTCTCTTGACTCTTGTCCAGGCAAGTGGATGCAGTTTCCACGAGATCAACGGATCCTATCCTGGGCTGGAACTTGTCAGGACGCCTCTGCCAGATGGTCAGGCATTTAGAGAGGAATGCTGAGTGCGGGTGGAGTTCCCTAGCTTTTGGGATGTATGGCGCCATGATGCGCCATGCTATAGTACAGAGGTCCCACAGGCACGTTCACGAATGCCTATGATTGGCCAAATGCACCGAGAAGCCCGTCTCGCTTGTCATCACATGAAACCAGGAGGCAAGGGTTTGATCAACAGGGGCCAGGGGTGCAACTCGTTTATTTCACCTGTTTGGGGGAAGTGGATGGAGCACTTCAAAATCAGTCCGACCAACTGGCAACAAGAATGCCATGGTCGTTCATTAGTCAATTGAGTCTATCACTGGCCGAGTGCCAACCAATATTAGCAGCGGCTGGGCACACTTGTTTGGAGGTGTCCATTCTCACTTGCCTCACGACTGCCTCAGCCTCCTTAAACATTCACAATAGCCTCGGATCGTTGACACAGCTGGAAGGCTGGCTGGAGCGTCGTCGTTCCGTCCCCCGCTGCCGGTCGGTTGGGCGCTGTGGGGCGCGAATCGCCGAATCGGAAGGAGCTCCCCACAGATCTACCTGGTCCACGATTTCTTCACCTCGCACGAGTGCCATCGGTTGATCCGCAAGGCGCAGGAGAGCCAATGCCTGGTGCCCGCGGGGGCTCCTCGGCGCGCGCATGGCGTGAGGGCGGGTATGGATTTTAACGTGTGGTGCCTGGTGCCAGACATCGGCGCGGACACATCATGAAGTGTTTTGTTTTGGACATTTCCAAAGGTCTTTGATCATGTTGAGGTGGAGACCTTCAAAAGAGCACTGGAAGAAGGCACCCACGACCGGCCCCAGACCACCGTGTTACTTAGGGTGGGTACCGGGGGAGTTGGAAGTGTGTTACTTTCGATGATTGGGGGTCCCCCTTATTAAAATGCACTCACATCAAGGTGGAGCTTCTCGTATTTGCTGCTTCAGCTTCCAGGTCTATGGCCCTGGCGGCTTGCAGCGTTCCTCCAGGCGCACGAGCCATCAATGCCTTTGTCCACAAGCGGAGGCCCCCACGCTGCTGCAGAAGATTGTAGTGCTTCGACATTGAGGGTAAGATGAAGTGAGGGGAAGCCGGTGAAAGCCGAGTGTTCACCAGTCGACAGAGAGACTCAAGTGCAAGCTTGGTTTTGGGTTTGTCTCTGTGTGGAGCCCCCTCCCAACCAGAGCGTGGTTTTCTGCTTTTTTGTTTCTGATAGACTATGTGCTTGCCATGTGTCTAAGCCTTCAGCCCAGGACCTGTTGAGATGCAAGCCCCGGGAGCTGGAGGCTTGTCAGATCATCCGCTACCAGGCCGGGCTGCGTCTTGCAGAGCTCAAAGGAAAGAGGCGCTTGGACCAGTGCAGCATTCTCCTCGCAGCCAAACATCGAGGGAAGACTATGGTCCGGTTCAGCCATTTCACCTGTCCAAATGATCTGGCAAACAAAGGTATTATATGAAGACATACCACCAAATAAAAGACTTGGTGCCTCTCTTGCTCCTCTCTTTCCTCACTTTTGTATCTCCACCTCATCTTCTCGGTCCTGGGTCTCATCAATGGTGTTCTTCCGAGTTCTTCTCGGTCCAGGAGGGCGAGCTCTTCGCGGCTCATGGGGACTTCAGCACGGACGGCACGCGCTCCAGCGCGGGCTTCATCGACGGCTGCCGCCGGGCGACGCTCTTCGTGTACCTGAACGATGTGCCGCGAGGCGTGGACGGCGTGGAGCCAAGCTGAACGGAGTTGACCCAAGCGATGGGGGATTGGGGGCGACCTGACTTTGGGCGACTTTGGATGGTTCTGGGATGTGGCAAGGACTCACACCGCCTTGAAACACTTTCGCTGTGCTTGTGGGGCCCATGCGGGTCGTTGAGGCGGAGTGACGGAGTTCCCGAATGCATCTCCAGCTCTGAGTATTACTCCGCGAGAAGGCGGCTTCCTGGGCTTGGGGGTTGGAGAGGTCACGCCAGCTTGAGCGCAAGCACCCACTACCACTTCCAGTGGGTGGCAGCACCTGCTTGTAGAGGAAAATGGTCGTTTGAAGGGGCCATGCCATGCCACCTCCATGATTTCAGAGAGTGTAGCCAGCTTGCGAACTCCATCGATGCACCTTGCCAAACCGGCCTTCCACAGCGCAATGGACCCGAGCAAAGTTGCTGGCCTCCTCATCAAAGTTTCGCCACAAGCAATTCTTGAAATGTTCTGAACCTAGCCTGGTGAAAGCCTGCCATGCAAGCTTGCATCGGCTGCACGAAACCAGATCCGGCCCCTCTCCTTTCAACCTTTCAACAGGCACTGGCGCCCAGTCCAGCCGACCTCAACACCAGCCGACCACGTTCCGAAGCACTTGGAAGGCTTGGCGGTGATCCACTTCCCCGCCAGCTTGGAGAATCTCTCCGATGCCCATCGGACGAGGACACGGGTGGAGGAGAAGAGTGAGACCGGGTCAGGACCTACAAAAAACCCTTGATGTGAGAAGAAACGGCTGCAGGGGTCTTGGAAGATGCTGAACACCTGTTGTGGGGCGGGCTTATGATGGGCTATGTGTTCATCAGGAGCCATGATGCGATCACCAGTGCACCCCCCGACAACCAATAAAGCTCCTGTAGTTCTAGTCTCCATCTTTTGGTGTGGAAATCACCCTGGAGCACCGCACCTGGTGCCCCCCAAAGCGCCCGGCCGCACCGGCCGCACCGCGAGGCACGCGAGCCGCCCCGCGATCGACGAGAAGTGGCTCTTCGCCACGTGGCTGTGGAGCGGCGAGCGCTCCGCAGACGTCGAGGCGCTGCAGCGCATCGGCCGAGGCGGGGACCGTAGCCGGTTTGAAGGAAGGCGAGGCGAGGCGAGGCCGTGAGGGTAGTGATTAATTAGTGGTCAGGCTGTGAAATGATGGAAGGGAGCACAAACTGCAAAGCTGATGTATTCATACGCTGGAGAGTTTGAATTCTTCCTCGGATATTACGAGTGAGTGCCTTCATGCGCCCACAAACCCATCTCAAGACCGAGGCTACACCCATGCATGGCCTGAAAGCTATGACCAACTCAGTGCAGATGTGATTTGAGCCAAGCCGGGAGGAGGGTGTAGAGAGCCTAGGCAGGCGCGGCTCAAAATCGTCAGGTCGGATGAAATGGTGTGCCCAGGAATTTGGGCCTTTTAAGAGCCACATTTCCCACGGCGTTGACGCGACAGCAGAAAAGTAGGCCGCGGAGTTTATGCGTCAAGACGCCTTTGGGTTCCTTGCTACGTCGGTCACACGGCACACATGAGCTGCCAAGTATTCAGAAGTTCTGTTCAACTCACACCTGGCAAGCTAGATCGGTATAGAAATTTAGAAGCAGGCAAGAATTGAGAAAGCCATTCCAAAACCAGAACACATATGAACACATTGGTTTAGTCATATCACGAAAGGTAGCTTGAGCTACCTGAGTCTCCTTGCTTTAGCAAAAATGCATTACAATCAGGAGTTGGGATTGCGCATTGAATTTGGTCCTGCAAGAGTCGATTCTGTTCGGCGGGGGGGGGGGCCTCCCCCCTCCCTGGATCAAATCCCTCCTGCGCCGGTTCACGCCGTCATGGACTTCTACCAGGGTTACTTGTGATTGCCTGCTACCTTTCGTTCACCCCCTCAAGTCTTTTTTGGTGGGCGGTGCCGACCGCACCCGTCGCTTTCCATCGGCAGGTGGCCTTGCAGTTGCTGCAGATGATCCAGAGCCGAAGATTGGCGCCCGACCTCTTGAGTGGCTCGATGCAAGGTCTGGTCTTCCGCCGCAGGCATGTACATCATGCGAGCTGACCCAATAACAGCATGTACTAGTAGCAGCTAGCATGTAGCAGGTCATCAGCTCCACCACGCCGTGCATGTCCCTTCAGCTCCACCACGGCCTGTGCCTTAAGCTCCCTCTTGTCGCCTTCCCCAGATCTCAGGCTTCAACTCGGCGATGAGCTCATGCCGATTGGCCTGGACCGTGGTGCTGCAGTTGCTGAAGACCCTGCAGACGGAGGGACTCAGGTGCCGTCGCGACGGCGAATCGCAAGAATCGTCGCCAAGCAGGGAGCCAGGGAGCTTCCATGTGAGGTGGTCTTTGTCGCGTTCCTCTCGCCGATGGCAGATGTCGATTGATGGCCCTTCAGGATGTGCAGCATAGAAACGTTTGGGAGTGGATCGGAGGCAGGTGAATGAGGCCACCTGAGTATCCCGTAAGGCTGGAGAAGGTAGAGGCGACTATATATTTACACACACACACATATATATATATATATAAGTACAATTGAGCTGTGAGACCATACGTGCTAGAAATGCGGCTCTTTCCTTTTCTTTTGCGGGGCCTGACTAGCCTCATTTCCCCACCTCCAAGAAGTCCGGGACCAACCGACTTCGTCGCAGGCCCGACGTGGTCTCATTCAATGCGGCTCTGGCGGCGGTTGCCAGCAGCTGGGAGTCTCAGAGCTGGAGGTCTCATAGGAAGGGGCGGTTAAGGCACATGGGCAGTTGGTTCATCAAAGTGACGTTGAAAGGGTGTGTCAGGCGCCTAAAGCACTTGAAGTGGGAACCGCCTATAGTTCAGTGGGATCCGCCCACTCCAAGCACTGCCTTGTGTCCTCGCTGTCAAACGCGGGGCCAGCACGAAGTGGTGGCTGTGATGACTTGCCCCCACGACGTCGCCAGGTGGCGAGCTCAGGGATTGGGAACGGGCGCTGGCCCTGTTGGACACGCTCCATGCCAGCGGAAACGCTCCAGACCGGGGCACCCAGAAGGACATCGGTTTTGGAAGGATCGTTTTTTCTTCTTGGGGGGAGGGTCGGACACAGGTCCACCACTTAGACATTTCACCTCTCATTTCCACGCCCGACTCTGACCTCCGGTTTTCGTGATTCTACGTGATTCTTGCCACTCCACCACTTAGACGCAAGGATTTCCCCAAAAAGCGTGCTTCGAATTCGGCGCAACGGTGGACCGGTCGGCCAAGGATTTAATCAGCTTCAACACCGCCGTGGAAAGCTGCGGTGGTGCCAAACGCTGGGATGTGGCTCTCGGACACGTAGAGGACGACTGAGAGGGGGGGGAACTGGGGGGCGTGAGGCGTGCGTGGCGCCACGTGGCAGTGCTCCAAATGCACGGTGGCAGGGTGGACTGGGGGCGTGGTCTGACTTTTCCAAACTCGTTTTAGCACCCGACATGTTTCGTGTGGAATTTCTATAGCTGTAAGCACCCGCAATGGTGTTGGCGGTGTGGGGATGTTTGCCAAGCTGCACAACCCGCGAGGAATGCGTTGAACAGTTCCTGCATGAGGTCTCTTCTTTGTCAGGAGCTGCTGAAAGCAGGGCTGGAGCCAGACCTCAACACTGCCACAGCAGTTGCACGGGTGTGTGGACATGCTGGAGAGTGGTCGGAGCCCCAGAGGTGGAATAAACATGAACAAACTGTCGGGCAATGACGGTAGTTTGTCTTGGGCGCAGAGTCAGGAACACGGTTCCCTTTTCATTGTTTGGCTCGTGGAGTGGGAGGCTCTCATGGTTCTTGCTTGCTGTTGCTACAGTTCCCATGCACCACTTGGGGCGCAGCAAAGCCCACCAACTGCTCCATCTCAAGTTTTCAGGTCGAATAAATTTTGTTTTGCGCTGCCCCCATCAAACTCCTTCAAACTCCCATTTTCGTCGGAGACTGGCAGATCAGGGGGTCTATCTTTGCAGATCAGTTTCAGATGGCACCAGGTCTCCAAGCCTTCTTGGATCAATATAGCTCCTAGGTGAACCCCGTCGCAGGGTTTGGGCGACGGCACGAAGCCGTCTCAGCCGAGTCACTCCAGGCAAAGAGTCTTCGCCTTTTGGCAGATGACCTCGGTCGAGCCGGACGGCAAGCTCTATGGCGCGGGGAGTTCATTTTTTTCTTCGATCGAGTGGAGCGGGCCTACGCGGGTATAGGCGGGTAGGCTGATTGGAGGTGAACAGGTCCAAACGCGCACTGGATTGGGTCCACGAACCAGCCTGAGAACAAAAGCCGAACTAGAGCCAGAAACTGAGCTCAAGGTCATGCAGCGGTTGGTTTGCATCACTCGCTTAATTAGGGGGAACTGACCAGTTTGAGTTGCAAGTGTCTCGGCCATGCCTTTTGGCAAGTCCCTATCTTCCAAACCCTTTGCGAGAACTTGGAGAGCACAGCCACCGTTTCTTTATTTTGGATGTGCTTGTGTCAGCACGTGTACAACCCGGACCACGACTGCGAAGGACCTGGTCCGTTTGGCCCGCGATCCGCCAGGCACGTTGTTCTTAGCATGCGAGAAGGGCTTGCAATGGCAGCTGGCCGTGCAGCTCTTCGAAGAAATGTCAGGGCCTCGAGGTGGCCCATAGCTAGAGTTGAGCTGTTGCTGCTCGGCTCTGAGAGAAAGAAAGGGCTCCCAACGCACCCAAGACAGGGTTCAAAGACAAAGATCTACAAAGAAGGCAAGCAGTCGATGTTGAGGCACCAAGCTGTTTCGACCTGGCATTCCCAGCGGCAGCGAGCCAGAAAGCTGGTCAAAATCCAGCTCATTGCCGCAACTATCTATAATCCCGCAGCATTGAGGCCCTCTACGAAACAAACATCGTGCGCAACGGAGAACTTCCCTTCCAATGAATCAACATCTGAACCAACAGCTGGCTTCCAAACAGAACGCCTCATGTTCTTCACAGATTCCACGACCAGTTTCGCCTTCGCGGCGCTCCCAAGGCGACACTCAAATGCCTTGGACTCCTTCACATCCCCGCTGGTGGGGTTTCCGGACTGCGTTCCACGTGGAGCGGCGGGGAGATGCAGCAGATCTTCGGGTTTTTGCCGCTAGACCAGACCTTTGCCATCGCTAGTGAGTTGGAGGCCATCGCTATTAGGTTGCCGGCCATCGCTAGCAGGTTGGAGGCCATCACTAGTAACTAGGTTGGAGGCCATCGCTAGTAGGTTGGAGGCCATCACTAGTAACTAGGTTGGAGGCCATCGCTAGTAGGTTGGAGGCCGCCATTGCTTGTAGGTTGGAGGCCCTTGCTAGTAACTAGGTTGGAGGCCATCGCTAG